GCGCGTGGGGGGGGGGGCGGCGAGCTTACGGTGAAGCTGTTGACGTGGTGCGTCTCGGGCGTCGTGGCGGCGTAGTGCAGACGGCCTTGGGAGACGAGGGCGTCGAACATGGAGAGGGCCCTGCTGGCGAGGTCGTCGGGCAGGGAGAGGAGCGTCATGGCTGGTGTGTGGCCTCGGGCTGCGACGCTGTTGAAACGAAAGGAAGGGGAGGCTCAGTCGGGCGCTCGTCTGCGAGCTGGTCCAGGTCAGATCGACGAGATGCCTCTCCGTGTCGGCATACGCAGCACAAGTGAGTGATCCAGATGCAGTGCAGAAAGGCGCGGATGAGCGAGACGCTTGTGACGGTGAACTCCAGACTCTTCTCTTCGACGCTACGGTTCATGTTAAAAGCCGCATACGAGGAAGTCACCCGCTAATCTCGTTTGGAAATCACCAGCACTGCGAGTCCACAGCCCGCGAGACAATCATGACTAGCCGCCCACCATCCAGCATCTTGACGGCAGCACAGAAGAGCCAGCTTGGCGGGCCGCCACGCGCCCGGAAGTTAGATGCCCGCCGTGCAGGGCCAGCGGCGCTTCGGAACAGATCGCTCCACCGCTGTGCGTCGGGGGTCCGGTTACATCGGTCGTTGGCATGCGATACAAGGGCCGATCAAGAAGACCAGATTGGCGCGTCCAGCAGATTGTCCCTGCATTTTGTTACAATCGTCATATCGATGGCCAACCACATACACTCCGCTGGTTCCTTCGACACCAGGGGTCGCATCACTCTTGATTCAGCGCAGGACAGGTACCATAACACATGTTGACATTAGCTAGCTGCACGCTTTTGTTCCATGCCAGGCGATCCATGCCCGGCGATCCCTTGAGGCGATTCATCCAGGCGATCCATCCAGGCGATCCATCCAGGCGATCCATCCAGGCGATCCATCCAGGCGATCCATCCAGGCGAAAAGAAGAGCATCTACACGGCCCATGTCCCTCTGTCCGCCGTCGTCTCGGCGGCCCTACGACGACGCCCGGACGACCTTGTCGACGGCCTCGGCAAAGTAGTCGATATTCCTCGTGTTGAGGCCGGCCATGCTGATGCGGCCGTTCTTGGTCATGTAGACGTGCGCGTCGTCGCGCAGCTTGAGGACCTGGGCCTCGGACAGGCCGGTGAAGCTGAACATGCCAATCTGGTCGGTGATGTGGTGCCAGGTGCCGGGGGTGCCGAGGGCCTCGAGCTTGGCGCGCAGGGCCTTGCGCATGTCGATGATGCGGCCGGACATGGCGCGCAGGTTGCCCTGCCACTCGGCAAAGAGGGCGGCGTCGTTGAGGACGGTGGAGGCGATGCGGGCGCCGTAGAGGGGCGGGTTCGAAATCTCGGAGCGCTGCAGGATGGCGAGCTGCGAGGCGATGCGGCCAATGGTGGCCGTGGCGTCGGCGCCGGGGCCCGTGACGACGTGGAAGCAGCCGGCGCGCTCGCCGTAGAGGCCAAAGTTCTTGGCGAAGCTCTGGGCGATGACGAGCTCGAAGCCGCGGTCGACGAAGAGGCGGATGGCGCCGTTGTCCTGGGCGAGGTCGCCGGTGGCGAAGCCCTGGTAGGCGCAGTCGAAGACAGGGGAAGTGGTTCTTGGTCCGCAGCAGGTCGGCGAGCTCGGGT